AGAGCCTGTTAGTATCAAGAGGATTGACGGTTAGAGTACCAGCGCTATCCTCCTTCATCTGAAGATCACTTTAGCCACCTCCGGAATCCTGTCCAGTTCTTGCAGGATAGAACTAAACAGGCCAGGTCTACACTTAAACTGCTACAGTGGTACAGCTGCACTGCTCTAGCACTTCAATGTAGACACTACAGCAGTGGGACAGGCTTGCCCATCTCTGTGGATAATCCACCTCAGAGACAGAAGTCTTCTATTGACCTCACGCTGTCTGTGCAGGGGACATAAGCATGATTCTGGGATGTGACTTTCACACCCTGAGAGATCCTGGGTTGTGCCTATGTTCTCATGTAGACTAGCACACCTATTTAGGACAGGAGGGCTGTGTCTAGTCTGGCAAGTTTTTTCCGCAAAATCATCTGCTTTTGCGGAAAAACTTGCCAGCTGTCTACACTGGCCGCTTGAATTTCCACAAGAACACTGACGATCTCATGTAAGATCATCAGTGTTCTTGCAGAAATACTGTGCTGCTCCTGTTCGGGCAAAAGCCCTCTTGCGCAAATCATTTGCGCAAGTGGGCAAGTGTAGACAGCACAGTACTGTTTTGCGCAAAAAAGCCCCGATGGCTAAAATGGCGATCAGGGCTTTTTTGCGTAAAAGCGCGTCTAGATTGGCACGGCTGCTTTTCCGCGAAAAGTGCTTTAGTCCGTGCCAATCTAGATGCTCTTTTCCGAAAATGCTTTTAATGGAAAACTTCTCCGTTAAAAGCATTTCCGGAAAATCATGCCAGAGTAGACATAGCCGAGGAGTGTGCTCTAACCGTGTGAAATGGCAAGTTTAACTCTAGATGCCGTGCAACCTAGCAGAGGTGGAATCTAGTTAGCACATCAGACCTAATGTTGCATCTTAGGTAGAAGGTGCCTCAGTACTAAATCGCAGCCCTGTATTGTAGGATGAGCTACTATAAGATCTAGACTCTTGTGATAAGCACACAAATAGCACCCTTCTCCATTAATCTGAAAGCAGCTCCCGTGGGCCAGTGCTGACTCATGTCACTTGTGCATCGCTAGACTTTTCCTTGGAGATCGCTGGCTAGACTAGTACTTTGCAGCTGTAACAATATACAGGGGGACAGACTGACTGGCTGGGCCACTGGGCAAGGGGTGTATGGTTCTCTGCTCCTGGAAGGGTCCGGGCTGGGCCCAGCCTCCCCCTGCCAACTCTTCAGTGCCACCCGGGGCTCTGGCTGCTGCTGCAATAGCGGTGGCAGCTAGGAGCCTCAGGGCCATTGGCCCCTCCCCTACCAGCAGGCCTCTGCAGTGTGGGACATGGCCACATATGTGCATCACTTACTTGTGTCTCACTAACTCCATTCCCTGCCATTGCAGGGGCCTCTGACATTGAGTACATTGATACTTCCAGTCCTCTGCCTGTGGCACAGAAGGCCTGCAATACTTCAGTTTAATTCTGATTGTTGGTCTTGGTGTGGGGGTGGGTGGGTAATGTTAAGTCAGTGGTGGGCAATAATTTGGGGGGGCACCCCAAGAATTTGGTAAGTGGCTGAGGGCTGCTCTCTTGCATTATGTTAATGAACTGCAGGGATCTGAGAAGGAGGTTGGGTAAGGGATTGGGGTGTGGGAGCTGGGAGGGAGTTTGGGTGAAGGAGGGGAGTGTGACCTGGAGCAGGGGTGCAGGTATTGACCTGGGACAGCAGACTGGGGTGCAGGAGAGGATTCTGGCGGGGGGGGCCCGGGGGGGGGGGGGGTGACCTGGGGCAGGAGGGTGTGCAGGAATTTGGGTTGTGCCAGGGCAGCAGATTGGGGTGCAAGGTTTGGGAGGGGGTTGTGACCTAAGGGATGCAGGAGGGGACGCAGTGTTTGGGAAGGGGCATGGGGGCTGGAGCAGGGGTGCAGAAGGTTTGGCTCACATGGAGTAGAGAGGTAGAGGATTGGGGAAGGGAGAGGCTGTGGTGCCAGAGGCAGGCTTTGGCTGGGAGACTTTCCTTGGCTCCCAGTCAGCAGCCCAGCAGGTTTCTTAGCCTGCCCCCCTCCATTGCCCTGGGAATGACTAGGCGTCCAATGCAGGATAAGGCACCTTCTGAAGGTAGGGAGGCAGGGTGGGTTCTGCAATGGTCTAGGGGATAGGGCATTTGCCTGGGGAGTGTAGGGGGGTGGGTTCAAGTCTCCCACATCCTGGGAGTGGCCAGACAGCCAACATAGAGGGGGTAGGCTCAAGTCTCTGCCTTCCAGCCCCTGTATGTGCTCAGGGGAGCTGCAGCGGCCATGCTTGCTGCTCTGAACAGAATGCTATGAACCCAGCAGATGAGGGAAGAGGGGCATCTCACATGCTGCCTGTTCTGCAAACAGGCAGCTGCTATTGGCTGAAACTGGCCAATGGGAGCTACTGGGGGTGTGGCCAGCATGAGAAGCCTATCTCCCCTCCCTCCATGCTCTCAGCATTCAGAAACACACATGTGGCCCTGCACCCAACCTTTTGGAGTGCTGAGCAGGGGCATGGCAGGCAGGGAGCTGGGCAACTTGGTGGGCCAGATCTGGCCCACAGATTATCTTTTACTCAGCCCTGTTAGTGGTCTGTGATATGCAGGAGGTCCGATTGCATGATAGGGTGGTTCCTTGTGGCCTTGGACTATGAAACAACTGTCTTGCTGGCTTCAGCACCAGTGACAGCAAGGAAAATGGTGGCTATTTTGTGAAAGGAGGAAATGTCATAACACCAGGCTGGGATAAGGAAAGCGTGTTTATCCCTAAATATCACCAGTCTAAGAGTGAGAAATAAATGCAATGTTCTGTTCTCACAGTTCGGACCCAGAAAGCTGAAGGCAGTATCCCACTGTGAGCTGTGGTTTGAGACGGTCTTGAGGACCAGGCCTTTAAGTTCTCATGGTTAAGTCTGTTCTATGGTTGGTCCTACAAAAACAACCATGCCACCTGGTGCTGGAATCCATTTTGATTCTTGTACTTTTCCATAGGGAGTGGGGAATTAAGTTCCTTAAGTACAGCTAATGGCCTTCACTAGCAAATCTAGATATATACATGGGCATACACTTCATAATTCTAGCTTCATATACAGGAATGACATATGTGCACAAATAGACTCTACACATTCAGGAGATTATAAAATATCCAGTGGTAGGTTACGTGCCCCAATTTGCATAAAGCATATTCAAATTATGCATATTCAAAAATCTACTTTCATAAAAAGATGGGGGTGCAACATCACATTGGCCTAATCCCAGGGCTCCGAGAACTGGCTTTACTATGGAAATGGAAGAACCCTTTTTCGTAGGTATGGTAAGATTCTATACTATAGCAGTGCAGCTTAAAAATATATATATAAAATGGAGATTGCCTATCTCCTAGAACTGGAAGGGACCTTGAAAGATCGAGTCCAGTCCCGTGCCTCCTCAGCAGGACCAAGTACCATCCCTGATGAATTTTTGCCCCAAATCTCTAAATGGCCTCCACAAGGATTGAATTCACAACCCTGTGTTTAGCAGGCCAATGCTCAAACCACTGAGCTATCCCTCCCCCCGTTTCTACTGCAGACCTCTCCGGACGTGCATTTGTCCTGTCAGCTATGTGTTGCATCTACACTATAAGCTATGGAGACATAGGCTCTGTGGTGTAGACATAACTGTAGATCTCTGACGTAGACGTTGAATGGATGCCATAAGTAGCTAGTTAATCCTCTAGTAATAAATACTGCAGATTCATCTGGCCGTGCTCAGATCCTTAACTGAAGTAACTTTTGTTTTTCGTCATTGAAATCACTACTCTGGATTGGGACTGGGGATGAAGGGTTCACTATGCAGGCTGTCCCAGGGAGAGAGGGCAACCCCGGGTGAGAAGTCCTTGTCCATGGCTTCTGCAGCTTGCAGTGGGCACAGCTGAGGGAGGAGTGCATGTGCTCCTGGCTGGGGGACAGACTGACACAAACAAACTCTCTGAAATAGATAGTCGATAGCTGTCCCTTTCCCCACCCCTGTGCCCTGCTGCCCCAGCGGAGTTCTAGCTGCTGCCCTGTGGTCATCATGCAGTATAACTATGCCTGCTAGCAGACCTCTCCCTCTCTGTTTTATGGGAAACAGTCTCATTCTAGGTATAGCCCATTGACCTGGCACAACCAAACCCTGACCTTGCTTTAAGTTAGATGAGAGGAAGCTGCATACCAAATTTGGTGGTCCTAGCTTCTATAGTTTAGGGGGGCTCTTGAACAGACAGACTCACAGATGGGCAGACTCTCTCTAATATACAGTAGAGAGTGTAAGAAGTATCAATAGTGTCATTACTGAATTAAGATTTACCTAAAGCAAATGACAAATCTAACATCAACCACTTCAAATATTTGGTGTGTGAGACCTCTAGCTCAGTGTTTCTCAACCAGTGGTATGAGTATCCTCAGGGGTACTCGAGAGAAGTCTGGGGGGTACGTCAACACAACTGAAATTTGGAGAACAGAATTTTTAAGTTTTACAGCACTTTATTATTTTTTGTACTTTTTACACTAAAAAATGTCATCGCCTGCCCAGCCTAGGGTTAAGTTGTTTAAACAAATGTGTTGCAATGGTAGGAAAAAAGTCAAGCTGTAGGTACTGGGGGTACTTATAAATATATTTTTAAAAGGGGACCTTTCTAAAAAAGGTTGAGAAACACTGCTCTAGCTTCACTCTGCCCCGTCCTCTTGTACTTCATTGCTAAGCCTTCCTGCCTCTAAGAAAGGAAACCACATGCTGTCAGGGTGGAGTCAGTCCTCTTAAAAAAATTCTCCAAATCCTGTCTGAGATGAGGGATTTGAACAGTGAATAAAAAGGACAGCCAGTTCCTGGGAATGGCTTTTCCTGACAAACAGGCGCTGGGAGGGCCTGATATTTCAAATGCTTGCTATAGGGTGTAGTAAACCAAGCTCTGGGTGTTTCACTGATTGCAGCTGATTAGGAGCATAGCAATGGCTGAAGGCTGCTCTGGCATGGGAATGCTCTAGGAGCGTTTGCCATCTCTACCATGGTATGTATAGTTGTACTTAACTTTGTTTCACTGTGTTCTCTCAGTGGTGTGGTACAGCATGCCTTGTTAGAAAGCTTTCAAGGTAGCCTTTTTTTAACCAGTCCTCGCAAGTTGTTGTATAGAAGCAAATTGGCACTCACTTGACTGTAGCTGTAATCTGCAACGCTCAATGTTTTGGGTCTCAAATTTGAGCTGTTTTCCTTAGATTTAAGTCTGGTCCGGTTTTAATTTCAAAACCGATGGATGGCTTGAGTTTGACTTTCGGAGCATGGCAAGATTCACGTCTTGCTAAACTGTGGGAGAAAGAGCAGTCTTGGAGAGGTGTGTGTTTGTAGTGTTGCCGACTCTCACATCTCAGAGTCTTGCAGTATTTGGTCGTGTTTCTTTCTTTCTTGAAGTGCTATTTGCTGGAATCAAGAGTTTGTACAAACGTATCTGCTTTCATTTTAAAAAAAATACTTGGTTGTCTCCACAACCAGAGACAATCTGTAAACAAGTAAAGTGTCCCATTCATTTAAAAGATGACAAACCCTCAAACGTAACTTAAAAATCAGCCTCCCCAAAAAATTCTGATTTTTGAACTCTGAGGTTGGAAATACTGTTTTGTACACATGCTTTCTATAAATAATATAGTAAAATGGTCCATTTGAACTCCTGTGACAAGCCTCCACTCCTGGGTGATTTACATATCATTTGAATAGCTAATTGTCTGGTAAGTTTCTTAAAATCCACATTTAGCTTTATTGGGTGTTAGTGTGAGATGAAATCAGTATGGTTGCGGTGAGAAGGGGAAACAATGTTTCGTTGCAGTCTCCATCACTGTCCTTATCAGAGATAAGTGTAAGGACTCAAAGCAGCGTGGTATAAAGACAGCATTATCCTGGTATCCTACAGAGTTCTTTGGAATCCATAGTCAGAGTGAAGTGCGAGAAAAGAAACTTGTATTGCTTGCTCCTTTCCAAACCTAAGTGGAAAATACCGTTCCAGAAGACACAACTTAATATTTTAGCACTTTCTAGTCTTGGACTGTGTTTTGGTTTCAAGAGCTTGTACAGTTAATCAAGGACCCTCTTTTCCCCTGGAACTT